GCCCCTTTTGATAAGATGTCCGGGCCCATTCGATCGCGGGGGAGATCTCTGCATCTGGTTTTGGGTACTTCCTGTTTGAATGGAGGGCCTTCCGTTCTTTCCGGGGCTCTATCTGTTAACCTGCTCTGGCGCACTCGATCATTCGGGGCCCTCTACACCATGTCGTGAGTATTTCATATTTGAACGGAAGGCCCTACGCTCTTGTCGGGGGCCCCACCTGCTAACCTTCCTGGGCACACCCGATTATTCAGGGTCCCTCCACATTGCGTCCTGGGTACTTCCTGCCTAAGTGGAGGGCCCCACGCACTTGTCGGGAACCCATCTGTTCGCCTCCTCGGCCAGGCTGGATTGTTTGGGGCCCCTGCATATTGGGTCTTAGTGTTTGAATTCAAGGCCCTCCTCCTGTAGGAGTCATCTGATAATCTGCTCGGGTACACTCCATCTTTCGGAGGCCCTTCGTTCTTGGTTCTGGGTACTTCTTATTTGAATGGAGTGCTTTACGCCCTTGCCGAGCCCCTTCTGTTAAGCTGCTTGAGCACCGTCCATCGTTCGGGGCCATTTATTTAGGGTGTTGAGCGCTTTCTCTTTTGAATGGAGGGCCCTACGCTCTTGATGGGAGCCCCATCTGTTAGCCTGTTTTGGTACGCTCGACCATTCGGGGGCCCTCCACATTGGATCTTGGGCACTTCCTATTTGAATGGAGGGCCCTGCGCTCTTGACGGGGGCCCTTTATGTCAACCTGCTGGGACACACTAGATCGTTCGGAGCCCTACATCTTGTGTCGTGAGCATTTTGCATTTGAATGGATGGCCCTATGTTCTTGACGGGCTCTATCTATTAAGCTGCTCGGGTCGGCGGCGGATGCAGAAGGCGGCAGGGGAGGCACGGAACCAGTTTCATAACAACAAAAACAACAAAATTGGACGCTTTTGGGCCTGCAGACGACCAAGAACAATTGCTGGCAAGTGCAAAGTGTTCATAACCAGACGAAGCTAATTCTTCCCTGGCTGAGAAGCCGTTGCTTGGGGAAATTTTGGGGCTCATCACGCTGTCTAGAGGCATTATGCCGTCAATTGCGCTGGCTCTATATGTCCACTTGCTGGGTCAATCTGATCGCTAAGGAGCTTTCCAAGTTGCCCTTGATCTCTTGGTATTTTCTTGTGGGGCCTAATGCTGCTGTTGGGACGCTATCTGCTTTCACACCTGAGCCCTCTTGACCGATGCAAGTTTTTCGGGGGCCCCAGATGCCAGGGTGCGCTCAGCTGCTCAGGGGCTCTTCATATTAGTCTCAGGTTCTTTCCACTTGTTTGGAGAGCTTTGTGCTGTTGCTGGGGCTCTTATAACGGCACCCGATGCACCGAGGCACCCGATGCTCAGTGGCTCTCTAATTTGGTTAAGGGCTTTTCCCCTTTCATCTCATTTGAGGAGGACTCCTCATTCCTATCGAGGCTCTTTCTGTTAACCTGCCCATGCTCTCTTGATCGAACAAGGGTATTAATTCATGGTCTTGGATAATTCCCTTTACTCAGTGGGTACTGCGTTATGGCTCGACTTTATATGCCAACCTGTAGGGCCACTACCAATCGTTTATAACCCACCACGTCAGTCTTGGGTTTTTTTTGCTTGCTCTGACATCCCTATACTTGTTGACGGGAGCCACTTTATTGACCTCCTGTAGCACCCATGATCGCTCAGGTTCCGTCCCGATTGGCCTTCTCGCCTTCATCTTTCAGCAGTAGTCGGATGTGCGGTGATGAATTTTTACGCGTAATTGTCGAACTTCATTGCACATGCCACCGACGTCGTACGTGTCATTCCCCTTGACTTTTGAGTGTGTAACAGTTATAATACTAGCGCATCACTTTTTAGCATATTTTAAATGCTAGGATGCTTTACAATATATTTATGACAAAGGAACAATTCTGCATTAGTCATCAGCCATCAGATGATTACATCGCCCAGACGGCTAGCCGTAAAGAAGCTAGGAATCAAGTCCGTGCTCGGATTTGATGGCTGTTAGCAGCCAACTGCAGTTAATTTTCCCTTTTGTTCCGAAACACTCAGCCCCGAATTATTGGCTTTACCATGATCTGTAGAAAATGAATGAGTTATATGTATATACATGCGTAGCATGCCTAGCTTTATAGAGCTGCGCGGAATAAGACAGGTTTCTATATTTATTACACCTTCACACACACACACACACACACTTACACACACTTACACTTACACTTACACTTGCACTTACACTTACACGCACACGCCACACACACACGCGCACACACACGCGCACACACACACACACACACACACACACACACACACACACACACACACATATATATATATATATATATATATATATATATATATATATATATATATATATATATATATTTATGTATGTATGTGCATACGCTCCATGTCGTTGGTCTTCAAATGTAATGACCGGAGTGCAAATATATCTTAAGGGGGGCCCGCTCTGTTGGGGGCCCAACAATGTTACGTGTCCCCACCTTGACAAAATCCTGGATCCGCCCCTGACTCTGAGAATGATGATTTTGGATAGCAATTTGAAGGACAATTTTGGTTAGGTTTGTTGTTATAACTATATTTTGATGCATTACCAATACATCTTGGAGTGAACGTCTTTTCAACAGATTGGGTGTGATGAAATTTTGATTTCAAATGACAGCGGGGCGCACGTCGGCTCGGTTGGGAAGGTTGATATTCGCTGTTAATGTTTCCTGGGCCAAAGAAAAAAACGGCGGAAACGTCGGCACGAAATTTCGAGTTCTTTTTTATTTCATCCTTTCGTACTTGAGAAAGTTTTAAAGTTCCAAGCAGGTCACCGGGCTAGACAATGTCGGCTGAGTTCAAAATCTAAACGAACTCTGGAATTCTACAGCTCTCATATTTTTTACGCATGAACATATTTGGTGAATATTGTACGTTTTCCGTTCTCTGTGACATGCGTACATTCCGGTTTTCTTTAACCTTTAAACATTCTATGATCTTATAACTTGTAGCGGAATGGCGAGTATTCGACAGTGTTTGGCCGGGCTGGCAGTAACCAACTCGAGTTATTGCTCTTGAGCGGCTGGGCTAGTGTTTTCTGCGTCAATGTCAAATTAACACACTTGCAATGCGCTTTATATCTTTCGATTCCTGACGTGCGTCAAAAACGATAAGTTTCAGCAGTTCAACTTACCACCTAGCCAGCTTTACACATGAAAGTTTTTTTTTCAAAATCTCCCGACAGAGCCAATGTCAACGATCTAACCGGCAACGATGATGCAAATTGCGGACATTTTGTGACAAAATATTCAAGGAAATTTTGGGACGCAGCCAACAATAGGGCAAGAAGGAGAACATGGCAAATGGCGTTTGACATTTGGCCAGGTGAGCTGGCGTTTTTCAGCCGCGTTGTCATATTGACTCAGAGAAGACTTTGCCATAAGACACGAATCATCAATCCAACAGGGTGGTTTGATCTCCATGGCTGGAAAGTACAAAAAGGCGAGTGAAGTCCAACCCTCAGTTCTGAGAGTAGAGCCCGAATTTTCCTGTATGTAGGCAACTGGCTCCATTCACGTATGAAGAAACTGCACGTAGCTTGAAAGCAACGAGGCCCGTGCAGTTCCTCGTATTCCCTAACTCCAGAGAACTGCTCAAAGCTAAGAACGGGCAAAGCGTCGGGAGGTGCGAATCGCTCTTTCTGGTTCACCATTTCAGCGACCGTGTGGCCACGTCATTCTGCCTCAGCCAGCCGCGCCCAACTGAGCTCAGGCGTTACCGTACGCCAGACGAGATGGGTCCCGCGGTAACCCACAGCGCAACCACAACGCCCGCCCGCAAGGCGACGGCACCGATGAATGAAGGGCCGCTGGAAACGGCTCCTTTCGCTCCCTTCATAAGCACCTTCACTTTAAGGAACAGGAAAAAACGATGCATTAGACTTGCCTTTAAATATGTAGCTAGGGTACCGCTGCGGTGCCGCACCGCCCGCTCGCTGCCAGCGCGGCCGTGCACACCAGCAGGCAGAGGACTGTTGGACGAGCCGCTCTCAGTCGGTGGTCCGTGCCGGCGCCGGTGATACAGCCGGTGTTGATCGGGCCGGTGCTTCATCCGGCCTTGATCCGGCTGGCGATCCAGCCGGTCTTGATCCCGCCGGGATCCAGCGGGTCTTAATTCAACATAATTTATGATGTATTACACTTGATCCAGATCAACTTTTGCTCCGCTATCCTAATAGTCTTACTGTTAACCAACACACCGTGCAGGCCAATTTATTGTACCGACCGTCGCCAAGTGTTGGCTGACCCGGAGAAGGACCTAAGAATACCTGGTGCAGAAATCCGTATATTTCAGGAAGTTTCTCGGAGATTCAAAGTTCAACACCACAATCTCGCATTTGGCATGCTGATGATCAGATTGTCTGCGGATTGAGCACACTCAGCAGGTTTTCTGCTCGGATAGCACCGAAATCAAGTGATTATTGTGCTTTAGGCCATGGTACCTGCGTTGCACTGAGCCGTGAAAATGAGAGATAATTACATATGCGCCTGTTCATTGACGCATACTTACACTTTTTAGCTAAAATAATGCTGGAGTGTAGGTTTTTGCAGTTGGCCATAGCAGTGTGAGTTTCCGACCAGGCCTCGGTGTTGTAGTCCTCAAGCTCGACCAGTGGGATGGCGCGCGCCGCTGCTATCAGTGGGAGCTGAGGGAAACCTAATCTCGCTCTCGCTCTTGTCAGTAAGTCACGAGTTTCGTCGGGCGGTACATTCGTCTGTCGGTAGCAAGACAGTCCGGTGAGATAGCCCGTGGTCTTGGCAAGTAAGAAGTTCGGCTTGGAAGGCACCCTGGTTTTTATTGTTTCGACCAGCGGCGCAACAGCGCAGACAACAGCAAGTGTTGCCATGGCGACCGTGAGCGCGACAGACGAGGAGACAGCTCGACGGGAAGCAGCATGCCAAGGCGATGCGGCCAAGCTGGCCCAGATGAAGGTACCGGATGACTGGAAGATCCTGCCGGCCGACCCCAACTACAAGAACCCCCTGGTGCGCCACTTCCGCCACCGTGGCACCGTGCTCACCAACTACCACCTGGTCAACGGCTGCGTCGAGCACTGGGCGCGCTTCCAGGCGCGTCCCACGGACATCTTCGTGGCCAGCTTCCCCAAGTCGGGCACCACCTGGCTGCAGGAGATCGTGTGGAGGATCGTGCACGGCGAGACAGGCGCCGGGGGCAAGGCCGACACGCCGCTTGAGTATCGCTTCCCCCTCCTGGACATGCCGTCGGCAGTGAACATGGAGATGCGCTCCGTCCACGAGATGGACGACCCGCGCCTCATCAAGACGCACCTGACGTACGACCTGCTGCCGCCCAGCGTGCACACCAGCGGCACCAAGGTGCTCTACGTCACTCGCGACCCCCGCGATGTCTGCGTGTCCTACTACCACTGCACCCGCATGGTCAACTACGAGAAGTACCGCGGCACCTTCCCGGAGCTCCGCGACCGCTTCGTGCGGGGCGAGGTGATGCACGCGCCCTACCGCGAGCACGTGCAGGGCTACCTGCGTCACGCCGACACCGTGCTCTGCGTGACGTACGAGCAGCTGCACGCTGACCGCGCGGCCGTCGTCCGTCGAGTGGCCACCTTCCTCGGGCGGCCCGTGACCGACGACCAGGTGGAGAGCATCGTGAGTCACACCAGCTTCGGCGCCATGAAGGAGAACCCCGGCACCAATTTCCGCCACTGGGAGAAGAAGGGCCTAGTCACCGCCGGCCAGGAGGGCACCTTCATGCGCAAGGGGCAGGTGGGCGACTGGAGGAACTACTTCACCGAGGAGGAGGGCGACGCCTTCCTCAAGTGGGCCAACGAGCCGGTTTGAGGGCGGTGGTGGAGGAGGCGTGCTGTCGCCACCGGCCAGGCTGCTGCGGTGTGCGGATGCGTCAGCATGCGCGCGGCACTGAGGAGGAGGTGTGTCTGACTGGTGACTGCACCGGAACCCTCGTGTGCTGCGTTTTTGCGCGAGCGTCGATTGCGTGCTGACGTGGAGTGCTGCGAGAGGACCTGCAGGAATGGTATTAGCAGTGTTGTAGATGTAGTTTGGCATTTGACTTTATGGGTGTCTTTCCGAATCATGTAATACACACTTGCCACATGGAGAGTAAATGAGAGCAGATTGTTGTTATTTCATGTATTGCCATGCATTATTTCCCGCAGGATAAGGGCGCTAGAGGAGGCTACACTGAGGTTTATTCCGAAATAAAACTTTAGAATCGCTAAAGATATGACGCTTGGTAGCTAAGTTTTCGATGCTTCTACAGATCCCATATAAATGAAAAACCACGTCTGTCACAGATTATGAGTGTTGACCATTTTGTCTGGTCATTGTCGATTTCATGTTGTGTTCACTTATCCGGTAACGAGCTAACCTACTTTTGTCGCAAATAAAAATTGGAAGCGACCGTCCTACGTTCATTTGCTTTGTCTTATCGCGGTAAATTGTAACGCGATTATAAACATACATTGCTCATCCGGAGGTCAAGCCGCGTCTAATCCTCTACACGGAAAGCATACAAGGATATTTTTCTGTTATGGCCTGGTTGCATTTATTAAAAGTCGCACCACCTGGTCGGCATAACACTGGCATATGTTACTCAACGCAATTGTCTTCGCAGCCGTGCCAGTCTTGGTTTTTGAAGTAGCATTGCGGATAGGCGCAGGACTTAAGTCATACCACCCAGCTTAGCAGGGTTTAGTTTGAATGACTTGTTCAATTTGCGAGATCGATGTTAACATAGGATAATCTGTGAACACTGGAGAAGGTTTTAGGCACCTGGTGGTGGGTGCCTATGTGTCTTCCTTGATCAGAAGGTGTGTATCTAACCGAGAGGATGTTTGCATGATACAGGACGAATCACAGGTCAGTTAAGCAGAAGAAAACTCGCTTATGCACAACACGCTTGCATCGACAACATAGTATATTAGC